TTACGATGCACACACTAGCAACGGTTGTGTAGCTGAACAGTCAACCGGTTCAAATTAACTCGGAAGTCTGCATCCGATCAACTATAACCGGAGGCAATTGTTTGTGAGACGACCGTGACGCAATATGAAGCAGTCTGAATCAGTCAATCAGGGTGACAAAACAGGCTTCAAACTCCGGGGAAACAAAACGTTGCAAAAAAGTGCAGTTTGTAGATGTTGGGCGTAGTGTCAACAAAAAGTGGAATTATACAAATGCTTCTCAGACGTCGCCAAATTGCGCAGGATGGATGCAAAGGCAGAAGCGTGCAATTTGTTGCTAGGATACGTTTGTGCAGGCCTTTGAGATCCTTTGGCTAACTGTGGTCCTTCCCAACTTATACCCAAATAGCAGGTAGCCTTTGCTCGAATAAGTATTCAGCTACTGCTGATTCTCATCAAGCCAATTGCGGTTGCTCAATCTGAAAATATTAATCTCAACCGTACTGTTTCAATTACAAGTTCTTACGAAAAAGCACACTAGTCGAACCGACTTCCCAGCTAAGATAATTTAAACATGCAATATGTTTCGCCAATACGGCCTCCTATTGAGGTGAAACAGACGGGAAACAGAACAGACGTATAATCGTTGATGGTTTAAATGGACAGAAAGGGAACTCTTACTCGTATGGCAGCAGCCGATGAGGTGTCCATATTAATCGATGCAGCAGCAGTCAGTTTGATCTAAAACATGCAAAACGAAGACAGATTAACGTGAAGCCACAATTTGAACTTGCCTTGAAGGAAGCGTTTAAAAGCGTAAAAATTACCCAATTCTAAACTCACCTACTTGTCCATAACTGCCCAAGGGAATTATGCCAGCATAATCATGGCTACTCAAATCGTTTCAGTAAGCATACTATAAGGTTAACATATAGTAAGTCCTACTGCCAATCCAAAACCATGATCACTCGCCCAACACCCCTAAACGGGAAGCAATAACCCTATTCGAAAATAACTAATTTTAAGCTTCCCAAGTAAACCCTGAAGCCCCTACCGATAACTGTCCAAGACAATGCAAGCCAGAGCAATCATGACTACTCAAATATTAACAGTAAACAGTAGTAGATAAGCGTACACTGATCAGTAACCGGACACACCTGTCCTGGTTGAGGCCTTTGGGAGCCCACACACATGTGAGCCTATGCCACAGTGCGGCTAATGTTGTAATGTTACTTACTATGTTTCAGTAACATTTATTTTATTTTATGACATAACCAACAAAGACAGAAGGATACCAGGATGGCCATTTCTGGCTCATAAGCTGTCGTCAGCTAGTCATGCCCAACTCCAGTGTTGCCGCAGAAATTGCTGTCAAACTCGACTTTCAAACCCACGACCACAATTGCCTGTTAACTGGCATAATAAACATATTATTATATTATCAGAGTCAAACGCCTTAACCATTGAGCTACAGTAAGCATACGCTGCAGGATCATTCGGTACCCAAAAATGGCGTATAATAGTTCGCGAATTTTAAAAAAGGTGGCTTCCGGGGGGTCAGTGCTATTTGAGTTGATGAACGATGATTGAAGAGAGTTCCAGTAACATAACAGATTGGCAGTGAAAGTAGCAGGAACCCCGGCAAAATTTCTAGGGCCACAATCTACCCGAACCTATAACTGATTTAGTCAGTATAGAGTAAAATGCTTAGGGTCTCTTTCACCTGAGGTCAAGATAATGTCTGTGCAGGTTTTGGAAGAATAGATTAGACATGAAGCCTAAAAGTTCAAGAACGTCTGTAGCAAATGTGAGAAGATACAAGTGCCAAAATTTTAAAAAAAGTCACACATACCAGTTCTTCCATCTTTTTGGGTTTTGGAGGAGGATGACGTCGAAGCAGTGTGCCCAGAGACTGCGAACGAAATTTATTATTACCATTTCGGTTTGAGTTTCTTCGAGGTCGGACGGGTGAAACAGCAGTCTCTGAGTCCTCTACTACTTCTCCTTCATCTGATTCAACCGCATCACTATCGGACTCTGTCGCGGTCTCGTCGCCGGAGTCAGCGGTGGCCTTCATTGAGCGATGCTTATCGAGGACAGCGGAGAAGAGGCGTCGTGCGACTGCCTGATTGGCTGCTAGCATCCACTCCTCAATCATCTGGTGTCCGGGGCCCCGCTGCTTCACACTGTAGCCCCGAGGCCAGCCCGCGGGCGTGGGTCTGCTGCAAGAGAAGGGGGGAAATGCTGACAACGGCAGACATATACCAATGAGAATATACAGACAAATAAATCCTGGCTGAAATGTAGTTTCAGTAAAGGCCAAAGGGCTATACAGTATGGCGAATGCTGCAAGCAAAA